TTTTTTTTTTTGTAATTTTAGAAGCGTGTTCCTAACTCGACCGTTATGATTTATGGCGGCTTATGAATAAACATTTTTAATCAGATGCAAAGCCTTTGTTTGCTCTTTTAGAACAAAATTTTGTATTACATCGTTGAAAAAACACTAACCGAGCATGCTACTGTCTTTAATTTAACGCTTTATTTTTTATTGTAAAAAAATATGCAAATCGACTATGAAACTAATTCATCATTATTCCAGGTGTTTTAAATTAAGTCAAAAACCTTTACTATTTTTACATAAGGCAATGTACTGTTCAAGTTAAAACACTATTGTTTTTAATCAGGCGTTATACTACGACAACCTGCCAGCGATATTCTTCGGCAGTATGACTTTAGTCGCCAGCGCGCTTGTGTTCACTCTGCCAGAGACAATCAACGTGCCTTTGCCCAACACCGTGGAAGAGGCGGAGAAGTTGTCAAAGAGTAAAAACGTCAAAGATAACGCATAGACATTCCAGAATTTATTCCACTCAATGTACCTTGAATCCAAAGAATTTATATTTGTAATTTTTTTAATGTTATTAAATGTTTTCAGACTCGCCTAAATAGGCGAGTATTCTTTCTACTGTACTGAATTTTATATAGTCTGGAACTATAAGCCATGAGTCAAATATTAATCGTAAAATTAGTTTTTTGGTTAATCGCTCAACCTCTTCGAGATAACAGTTACTATTTACAAATAAAACTACCTCTGGAAATGAATATAGCATATACGAAACAAGCACAAATACATTCCTAATGTAATAAAATATATTTATAACTCGTTTATAATAGTATCTTCAGTATTTTTTTAACAATTTATAAATCTTTGGGCAATACCAAAATAACGGAATAATGAAACGTACCTCTTGGCAGTTGGAGGGTTCTGTAAAAGTAACTCCCCTACTGTTGTTCAAATTATCAATCATGGTATTCATATAATTAAAATGATTGTTTGCAACAAACGATTTTTGACCGACTTCCCAAAAGAAGGAGGTACTCAATTCGTCTGTATGTTTTTTTTATGTGTGTTACAGCATGACCGCTAGTGGATCGATTTTTCTTTTCTACTTTTATATAATTGAATATATATTATTGAAGATTAATTAACTAAAGTCTGGTACAAAATAATAATAAGTACTATTAAGGTTGTAAGGTACAAGATTTTATATATTTTTTAAGTTTTTTTTGTATGTATTAGAAATAATTGGTGTAAAACTTCTTCATGTTGATTCCATTGTCGTTGTCTTGTGATGTGAACTTTATATTTCGAATTATTTATCTTGTAAATGTGCTTTGATGTTTCGATCTCTAAAATCTCGATCGAGTTGCATTCGATTGTGATTTCGAGTTTCAATAGTAAGGACTAGGTTCAACTAGCTTTGAACTATGAAAGTAGTAATAGTACTTTTAATAATTGAATTTTGATTGTGAATAAAGAAACTATATTTATTTTGTCATATTAAAATTGTGCGCACCTTTGACTAAACTATACCACAACTGTTCAGTCTCGCTTTGATTCGAGCTGATATGGAGGTACACTACTCGATTTTTAGTTGTGCAACTAAACAGTTGAATTGGCTGCGAAACAATTGACACCCGCACAACTATTGTGCGATAGTTTAGTCAAAGATGTGCGCCTGCTCGAAATGCGTACAAAAACCATACGTTTAATTTCTTCATATTTCGTTTGCAAAAGTAAACGGATGGTTTTCTTATAATGTTCAAGAGAACACGCACAATTTGCTAAGAATAAAGTCTGTTCTATTTATTAATTACACACAAAATATTAAAATCTATGTTTTCTGATAAATAATTGATTACGGTCTATGTTTATTTATTTTATTTCTTTAATAAATGATTTTTTACATTTCATAAGCTGTGTTTTAATTTATCTCCCTCAGTAAAATTACGAATATATTATAAAACAGATTACAAAGGCCAAAAGGAAGAAAATGGATGTAATTAATTAGCGTTAAAATATTGCTATGAATGTTTAATAGACGCCTGGCAATTAATAATAGCAACGAGTTGTAAGGAAACATTTTGAAATAATTTAAAGCGAAAGGTTGAATGTAAATAATTATTTTGATGTTTAAATTTTTCTATCGTATAAAATAATACAATTTGCTGTTTTAATAAATCAGATAGCAGCGTCGTTGAATTAACAAATTACTTCAACAAAGTTCCTTCTCGATTTGTCTCTGATTCTGAGAAAGTGAGGATACTTTACCAATAGCAACTAATACTGTTTCCAATATGTATATCGAAGTTAGTTTAGTTACTTAAAGTTGTTGCAGTTACATCAAACAACTTGCAATATTACCAACGAACAATATTTGCACGTAAACAGTATTCCACGAACACTTATCAATCAAAGCAATGAAATATTGGTTTATGTATAATTATATAGTTATTAACTACAAATATTGAAAATGGATTAAATATAAACAAGAGTTCTGAATTCGCTAAAATTTCCGGCTCATTTTATAACCTACTAGCTTTCGCTCGCGACTCCGTCCGCGTGAAATTAATAAAATAACAAAAGTGACTAACTTATGTGTTTTTCCAGACTATCCTCTACAACTATGCCAAATTTCATCGAAATCCGTTCAGGCGTTTAAGCTACAAACTCTAACAAACATCCATCCAACCGTCCGAACTTTCGCATTTATAATATTAGTAAGATTAAAATTAAAATGAATTCTCCATTAATTATATTAAATATTGAAAGTAAACTGAATAGTTTTGATACGCTGAAAGACAACCACAGCTGCGGATTGTAATATCATAAATCTTTTCGACGGACGACAAGTTGCTGCGACGCCATGTCTCGTTGCAGCTGTCAAAAGAAGCGGGAACAGATGGCTTTCGAATTGCATCACATGTATTAGGACAAAGGCTCGCGTAGTATACAGCCACGTTAAAATAACAAATACTTTTATTATATAATACTGTTTTTGTATCTGTTTTTTCATTTTCTTATTAACATGTAGTTGATGAAGTATGTAAAACGAGCTACATATCTATTATAAAAGATTGAGGTCGTGAGAGCTGAGGTCCTGACATTAATAAACCCATCTAACAACGTTGGAGGCGAGCCAACGAATTTCCTATGTTATTTCTTGATGGAATTTAAAGACTAATCTATACCTCTATACTATTATAATAAAGCGTAAACACACACTTCTTTGTTGCCTAAGATGTTAGCAATTATCATCATATTTTTGAATAATTCTTTTTGTAATAAGAAGCCGTACACTTAGGTCACGCTTTAGGCTATATATTTTCACGCCATTAAACTTAGGGAGTAAATATTTTGGATAAAAACCTTATTGTTGCTGCCAACGTCAAGAAAGCAAAATTACTATAGTAAGGTAATTGCTATTTTGATATTTGCAATAGATTATTTGACAATATGATGTATACAGGATAAATGCTTGATGAAAAAACATAACCTCAAAAGTGAAATTAGTCTTAAAAAGTACATTTATTGAAAGTAAAGTATTTTCTAAGTCTCCAATGTTATACTGAACTTAACTAAGCCTTGGGTTCGTATATGGAGGATATTTATCATCTTGTGTGTGAAAGGAGATAGGTCTACACAATCCTGATGTAGGGTTGCCAGTTTCATCTGATATTTCCAAACTTTATAGGTTATTTTTATCGTGTTACATAAAGGAGAATAGGAAGTTCGGAAACACATAATATTAAGCTTGGTATATTGTTTGAAATTCTTATAATAAACGTGATTCAAACATTAAATTTTATTAAATTAAAAAGAAAAGTTAAATAACTTCTATGAGTTCCCGTGACGGCCATTCATTCTAATGATTTTGACATTAAAACAATTCTTAATGTTTTCGATGTGTCTCTTGAGACATGAATCTTATGTTAATATCACAAAAAGCTTTATCCACTAAAGTCTAATTAAATTTACTTTTACTGTAACCGTAAACGCCTCAAACTTAGTTGTGAATACAGAGGTGGAATGCTCCAGAGGGTTAAAGCTTGTTTTCTTTTTGTTTGAACCTCGTTAAATTCATACGAAATATGACAAAATCTATGTTGAATATGACTATATTAGTACCTTATTACTAAGCTATATATTATACCTTAGTGTAGTGTATGGCCACACTGTTTACTTGTGTCATGATGTCATGCCAGCAAGTCAGTCGTGTCCGAGCCACCGACGGGGGCAGACGTCCGAAGCATACAGTACACTTAGTAATAAGGTACTTTTACCTATATTAGTAGATATGGTAAGTGACCTTTATATTGCATGTCTTTGCTATAAAAAAACGCTTTAAAGCAAAAGTCCTCTAAACTACACGTTGCATTAAAAATGTAAACAAATGAAGATGACTTTACCTGCCCTGTTCTCAGATTAGCATAACTACGCGACTGTTTATATTTTTACTAGTCGAAGTATAAAGTAACCAAGTTCGCAAGCTATATGTGACATGTATATGTTTATCTGATTATGTACACACGTGACTTTGCATGAGAAATAATCCTATTTAAATTCTAATTTGTTTATATTAAAATTTATTGCCACATAAAGTTTCTTGTTTTTAAGAGATCTCACTTAGAAAATCTCAAATATTCAAGTCGTCAATCTATGCATTTATTACCAATTACCGTAGTCAATTTCATAATATTTTCAATGCTTTTTTGTTAGCCCTCCATTTTTTAGAGCATATTTCTTGCTACATATTTTATTTTTAAGCTATTTCATAACATACAACTTTAATATATCATTTGAAATACAAATATTTTAGCGAAATAGAACAAAACTAACAGAGAGAATAAAACTATACTCGCTAAAAAACCCAACTGGCTTAAAATGCAATATATTCCCATGTGGCGTGTGTGCGGCACTGTACGCTTTCTAATTGTTTTTGACTCTTTTGGACAGCACTGTATAGTAGAATAAAGAAAAGAACTTGACATTGTCTAGTATATTTCAATTATTTAAATAAGTAACAAATAATATTTAAGTGCTTATTGGTCAAATGTAACGAATCTCAGACAATCTACGTAAGCGCCATTAACAATCTGCTCGATGTCAAAATTTTAATGGAATTTGGAGTATAATTGGTCTTATCAATTACGACGCTTTTACAGAATTAAATGTTCCAGTATTCAGTTGTAAGATTGTATTTACAGCGTCGATGGCTCAATGGTGACACTTCAAATTTACGGCTCCTGGGTTCGAATCTCGTGTACCAATGTGGAAGTGAGTGTTGGTACTTTTGACGTCAAAATTTTCTTAAAGCCAGTGCTGCCGTCAAGGTACGCTGTTAGTTGACTGACTAGGGCACCATAAGTGCAAATTACTCTCATAGAACACTCTTAAACCTGTCTTAGTCATGGTAAGGGCGTCGATAAAAACTCTTTGGCCAAAATTGTTCGTGGTCGTATTTTATAAAGAAAAAAAACACAGTCAATTCAAGAGTTTATTGGAAAAATGTGAAAATAACAATGCATTTATTTGTACTGATAAAATGTTTAAAGTACAGTTGCGCACAAAAATGCTTAGTAGATTTTAACACAATTCTACTTTTTAATTATTGGTCCCATTTAACAAACAACTTAGATACTAGAATACTGTTTATTCCGTGCATTTGTAATATTTAAGTATCTTTCAGAAACATTTACACACATTTAGTACAAAATATACATTAAAAAATGTTTTATGATTTTAAATTCGCGGAGTCTATTTGGGATGATTGAAACCGCTTCAGAGACGATTGACATAGTCATATAATATAGTGTTTTTCAAATATCTTGCTGGTAACACAATATTAAGATCAAGCGCACACCTTTGAATAAACAATCGAAGAATGGCTTTGCGATTGTCGATTGTTTCGAAGCCAATTCAACTGTTTAGTGTACCTCCATATAAGGTCATACGAATCAAAGTGAGACGAAATAGTCGTGCGATAGTTTAGTCAAAGGTGTGCGCTTTAAGTGTACCTATCGTCGATATGAGGACACTAAGCATTGTGCAGCTCAAGGTTAGATTTACTCAAGTTAGTCTCAAATTTGATAGATGGGTTATAAATTGCATAACAATCGATTTTTTTTTATTTACATGGCTATTAACTGTTATTCTTCAAGTTGGAAAACAAAAATGTATCACAATAATATTGCTCTATGAAAGTATATTTTTCGATGTATGTCGTTCGGATTTTTTTACTATTTTCGCCCATAAAACACAGTAAAATCTGATTTAAAAATTCAAAAGGGTTATAACGTTCTGTATTAAATTTGACTTCTCAAAATAAGGATTATCAATTCGACTTTTTTATCAATGACTTAATTCGTTTTATATTAGAAATAAAAAGTGTTATCTATGTAAGCTGTGTCATGAAGTTAATTACTTTATTGTATGATAATTATTATTGTAGTTGTAAAAACATAAAATCACAAAGTAGTCAGAAGTAGGGTTGTAACGGAGGCCATTTTAATGGAAGCGGATGCGGAGGCGAAGGGCTTCGCCTCTGCAGAAGCGGAGGTTAATAATAAAATATTATTTGTGATTTCTAAAAGAATTAAAAACTAAAATTACGTTAATTCAAAATACAGATTGGTACATAATTACAAGATACAGTTTATTATCCAAACATAATGTTAGAGACGTAAACCACCGTTATAACTCCGCATAAGAAATAACGGAAGCAGATGTGATTGCGGAGTTATCATTTTCTTGTGGAAGTTCCGCACTTGCGGATGCGGAAGCGGAGTTCCGTTACAACCCTAGTCAGAAGTTAGAAATGGTAATACCTGACATTTTAAGTACATTAGTTTGGTAAAAGTGAACAAAAATACCAAGGGCCTGTCCCACCAAATTGTAAATTGTCCGATAGCAATCCAACGTGTATATGTGATGGAAATATCGGATTTTGTTACTTTATGACAGTGACGTCATTTTTAAGCTATCTGAGCCAATCAGCCAGTGGAACAGGCCTTTAATGATGGAAAAATTTGTATGTACATTTTACATACAATGAGAATTTATATGAAGATTAAATATGTAAGAAGTTTCTTTTGCTAAAGTAATCTTAACATGAAAAATGCATAACAAAGTGCGTTTTAATTCGTTTTTAGATTCATACATAGATTTAGTACATTAAACAAAGTAAATAATTACTTTATAAATACATAAATACACTTAAAATACATATTGTGAAGATACAAGTAATAAGATTATCACTATTAATAAAAGAAAAGTTTTTTTTAATAAAAGCTAGTGGAGATATTTTAACATTTTCGTATAAGAAAAAGCGAGGTCTTTATTTAAATTATAAAAAAACTTTATAGCTTCTTAATTGGCCGAATACAAAATACTTTATTAAAAAAAAATATGATGTTATCTTTTTTTTAAAAATTGGTTACTTCATTTTGTTCAATAATATTTAGATTTTAATTTCATGTATGAAAGTATTTGAGTATATTTACGAGTATACATACAAAAATAATGCAAATATTTAACTCAGCCGTTTCAGAGATTACCCGGAACAAACGCGGTTTGCGGACAGACAGACAGACAAAATTTTTTTAAATGCGATTTTCGTTCCATTTCGAAATCTGAAATTTTTCTTTTGAAACAAACAGACACTCCAATTTTATTACATGTATAGATAATTGGGTACAAGTAAAATTTCAAATCGACAGAATACAAACTGTCAAGAAATTATAATTAACGACTACAATCAAAGTTCACAACAGATCGGTAACAGAAAAAAACATGCAGCATAATTCTCGGACATCTCTAAATTGTCTATGAATTCACATTTTTACTCTATGAACTGTCGACGGATCTAGTTTTCATTCTAGAAAGTTCTTCCGCTTCTTCTATCGTGTCTGGTAGTCGCATGTTCCTTGTCTCTGGTAGCATCAGCACTAACATACTCGATATGAGACACATACCTCCAAATATCACCGTCGGCATTGAACTGTGATATTCATGCTATAACAATATTTTTAATATAGAATTAACTAAATTAACAGACTTACAAACATTAAAAATAAATATTCCCTTCTTGATCATGTCAATCTATCTATATCTTTCTAGGTCTATGGTATCTCATACTAATATTATAAATGCGAAAGTTTAGATGGATGGATGTTTGTTAGATTGTAGTCTAAAGGGCTGAACCGATTTCGATGAAATTTGGTATAGGTGTTGAGGATAGTCTGGAAGAACACATAGGCTACTCATTTTTGTTTTTTTTTTTTAATACCACGCGGAAGGAGTCTCGGGCTAGCATTAGTATGTTTGTAGACAGTGGTGACTAGAGCTTGTTTATTACTAATATTATAAATGCCCAAAGTTAGATGGATGGATGTGTTAGAGTTTGTAACCGGATCTTGTTTGTGGCATAAATGTAGAGGATAATTTGGAAGAATAGGCTACTTTTTATTTAATTCCACGCGGATAGAGTCAGTATAGAAAAGCATACAAACTTACCAATAACGGTGTCATCGGCGCTACAAGAGATCCTATCCTGCCAGCGGTAGAACAGAAGCTGATCAACGTCTGTCGCATGTTGGTAGGGAATACTTCCGACACGTAGATGTATACAGAACTGTACGCGAGTGTAACACTCCATTTGCCAACCAGATAGATTGGAATCGACCACCAGTCAGCTGGAAAAAATACTCTTTTAAGAAGATTTGATGAAAATTTCTCCTTAAAATACTAAACAAAATACAATCTGAAATCAGTTTATCCATAATCAGCATTGAGAAATTATTTATATTTAATTTAGATTAAAGCATAACGCATGAAGGTCAATTGAAGGTCATTAACTCAAGAATGTCTATTGTCGATGGTTCTATACATGTGTTTCAGCTTAAAAAGTATAAACTACAGCAGTTTTTATTTATATAAATTCAACACAAATCTATACTAATATAAGCGTAAACACACACTACTTCGTGGCGTAGGATGTAAGCAATCACAGCATATTTTTAAATAATTCTATCTTTAATAAAAAGCCATACACTTACGACACGCTATAGGATATATATTTTTACACTATTAAACTTAGGGAATAAATAAATTGGAAAGAAACCTTCAAATAAGAAAGGGACCATAAACTACAAGCTGCCAACATTAATTTGTCGTCATGTCATTTTGACACTTGCTATTGATAATTTGACACATGTGAACAATAAAATAAAATTTATTTTATGCGGATGAAGCCGCACGGGAACAGCTAGTTGATATATAAAATGAGATTAAATCCTTGATGAATTCTTTGTGAAAATGGGCGATTACTTTATGAGGAGAAACAGTATAAATGCGCTCGAGTAAAATCTCGTTGTTGATAAGTCACAGCTGTATTGGGACTCCTAACTGTTTTAATAAAAACGAAAAGTTCTTAATAAAAAGAAAATGAGAGAATAGTATGAATATTTGTTGGCTAGAGTTCGCTCCTTATGAGATTCACACGAGGGCAGAACAGTTATGCAGAGCAGTAGAATAGTTCAGTACTACTATTGTTTGACACACGTCGAGAAACAGTATTACTTTATTAGTAAAATTGCATTCAAGCAATTGCAGTACTGCACTATCCTACTGCTCTACAGTGTACTGTACTCGTGGGCAACTAGCATTAGCGAAAATTGAAATGAAGTAGGGAACAGCGCTCATATAAAAGTTTCTTGTAAACTATTCCATGTAATGAAAAATATTAGTACTTCATACATTCCCTCGTAGTTATAAAAGTATCAAGACGTGTAAAAATATCAAATTAGACTATTTTTTGATAATTTTAGAGGAGTTGGATGAAGATATATGTGAAAGAGAGACACAAAAAGTGACATAGCGTACAAAAATAATTACATTGCTATTTAGATGCATACTAGCTGTTTCTCGCGACTTCGCCCGCGTAAAAAAGAATAAAAATATAGCCTATGTTCTCACCGATAACGTAGCTTTTTAATGGTGTAAGAATTTTTGAAATCAGCCTAGTAGTTTTTGAGTTATTTCAATACATACAAAAATACAAATCTTTCCTCTACGATATTAGTATAGATTTATGCAAGAAAACCTTCGTTCAAAAAATATTTATTTTCTTGTCTGCTTATCTGGCTGATCGTTGAAAAATAGAGCTAAGAAAAGTCTAGAACAGCACTGGACGCAGTGTTTACTTCTCGCATACTCATGTAAATATTATGCGCATATATAATATTGTTTGTCACATTGAATAGTACCAGTTCAAGGTCATGTGATCTGCATTCTTAACAAAACGCAACACATTCGATAAATTCGCAACACCCTGCATTTTAATGCGAAAAATGTATGCTTACTGCCGTGTCTAATCGTTGTTTATTATTAAAGGTTTGAGAAATGTAACTTTTTTAAAATTTTTAAACAATAAATTCAAGGTTAATGTTTTTTTGTCATCCAGCCAGGATGTTTTAGAAAATTATTAGCTCGTTTAAAAAATGTTGCTAATTCTTATTTAGGTCTTGCCGTTTCTAATTGTTACTGGCCTTTTCAAATAAAACAAAATTGTTCGACTAAGGATTCTAAATTCAAATTATTGTTATTTTAAAACATGGAATTCTTTTTTTCAAAACTATCATTTGTTTATTGATTAGTGTTACATTTTTATCGCGTTTCAACCTTTTTCATCATGGATACGTTAAAAATTCCAGTAATTATGAAAGAATATTTGTTTTTTGAAAGAGAGTGCGATATACGACATGATAGTGTGTTTCGTGTAAATACACACGTGTAAAATTGTTTACTAAAACTTTACACGTGTTCGACACACAATAGATCTGTGTCAAGTACAATAAATGTTTTTCAACATGTAAATATACAAAACAACTAAGCAATGTATGCTCACTTGAATTGAACCCGACTACTTTTTTTCATGAAAGAATTTATATATTGCAGTATTACTGACTTATATTAAATGGATAGGCTATAAGGGATGGTAATTTGTGCCTATTTGAAGTCCGCCATTTTGACGCTGTAGGTTACGGTTGCTAGTGAAGATTCACACTAATAGAAATAGATTAAACTGTCAACAGAACAGACGCGTTTTGGAATCCAATTTACTAATATAAATGGAAAATATAAATGGATGGATGTTTGTTAGAGTTTGTAGCCACAACTACTAAACAGATCTCGATGAAATTTGACACAGATATAGATGATAGTCTGGAAGAACACGCGAACGGAGTCATGGACGAAACCTAGTTTGATATAAATATATGTATTACATAATTAAAAAATGTATACTTACATTTCGGTAGAAATGCGAACAGCAAATTGGTGACCGCGCACAAAACGTAATTCACAACCAAAGTCTTTTTCCTTCCATATTTGTCCAACACAACCACAACTATAACATACGCTGGTATTTCAACCACAACTACCAACATAAAAGTAACATATTTATTAGCACTAAGTGACATTGCGTTTATTGATAATCCATAATAAACCAATGAACAAGTCATCCACAAAAACGAACAGATAACCAGTCTCTTCCATATAATAGTTGAACGAATCGCTTTAGAGAACTGCGACTTTTTATCCACAGTCTGATTCTTCGGATCAAGTAGTGGATCACCCAATGAGTCTAATTCTAATTTCCTTGGGTCTAAATTATTAATTTTAGCTGCACTTTTTAATATTTTAACCGCTTCATCTCGTCTTCCCTTACTTAGTAGCCATCTGGCACTTTCATTCATGAACCAGACGTATACAGCTACCAGGATCGCAGGAGTGTATAGAATGATGATGTAATGCCGCCAACTGTCGACGAACCAGGCGAGCAGAGCTAGTAATATCTCACCAACTACGAATGTCATGTTGCACATTGCGGAGACTATCACACGTTGCTTCAATCCTACTAATTCCACAGCTGAAAAAGAAAAAACGTTGATTAAAAAATTAAAAAAACAAAACCCCGCTTGATCTTACTAATATAAATGTGAAAGTTCTGATAGATGTATGTTTGTTAGAGTTTATAACCTAAATGCTGAACGGATCTTGAAATTTCGCACATATGTATGTTGATTTTTTAAAATAAAAAAAAATACATACGGACGAATTGAGTTCCTCCGTCTTTTGGGAAGTCGGTCAGATATAGGTAGATCGATTTTAGGTTATTTTTAAAAACGTTTCTGATCTTTTCTTATATTGTTCAGGTTCGTTAGTAATCTCTTAATAAGAGTTCCATTGTTCATTTGCAGTCACAAAAGATATAAAGTTAACTAACCCAGAACATACGCAGATGGGTACAATCCTCCTCCAAAGCCAGCTTCCAGGAAATGCATAGCTAAATACGCCAGGTAATTATTTGTGAAGGCTCTGCCGATACCGAATATAAGGCTGGCAATTGACGCTATCCCAACCGCCACCTTGCGGCCGAAGCGATCAGATATCGCCCCCGTTACCAACATTGCGGCGAACATGCCGGAGTTGTGGACGGTGCCCACTAGCGCCCTCTTCCATTCCTGACAACCTAAATCGAACTGTATAGATAATGATGTTAATTATTTGCATATAATGATGGGGACGCTATCTGTCTCGCTCATTCTAAGGGCGTAGGATAAGGACGGGAAGATGAATGGTGATGTTGCCCATGGCATCCTAGATTTATAAGACAAGCTTTTCTGAACCGGTAAGAGGAATAGATATCGCGGTTCGTTCTGACAGAAAATATGTAAAACATGCATAGGCATAATATTATGAAAGAAAAACAAAAGAAGACAGCTCCAATACTATTACAAAGATCTTTCGACAGTTTTTACATTTAGAGCACTAGTAAGTCATAATTTAGTCAAACACTGACCTCTATAAATGGACAGGTCGTAAACTGCGGCATTTTGTATCTTGATTTCCACTATTGTAACGCTGATTAGCGGACGCAATGAATTATTTAAGAACTTATAATAATAGACTTTGCTGTCATAAACATCAAAAGGCGCGTTTAAGTTGGAAAAGACAGTAAAGCTATCATGACTAAACAATACCCTGTCTATTGATACAGATCATTGGGTACAATACAACAAAGACAAAAAATTACTTTTGTCTATGTATTCACATTAATATTTTATGTTGTCTGTTTATTCAAATGTAGTAGTCGTGTGCGATTTATTCTGGGTATCAACGTATTGTTATGGCTAATGCATATCGTTTCCCATCCGGTTTAAATGCGATGCATTACTGCGTAGAAATAAACAATGACTGGAACCCTAACTTTGTTAATATGTAGAAAAAAATGCAACAAAATCAACTGTTGGTATTATCTTGTTTAAAAAGAAACGATGTTTTTGTACATAAATACTTTCTTTTAAACAATACAAATGTGAATTTTGATATGATTGATTTTTTCCTTTAAATATGGGTACTGAATGATGTTACGAGGTGTAACGTAAGATGTTACACTGCGAGCATCCATGCTTCCAACTAATGCCCACCTTAAGGTATTTTTATTTATATTACTAATATTATACATGTTAAAGTTTAGATGGATGGATGGATGTTTGTTAAGTTCGTTCGGTTGTTAGGTTAGGTAATTTCAAGTTTCAGGTTAAGGATCTCCTTAACGGCTCAACGGATCGCGATGAAATTTGGCATGGATATAGAGTCTGGAAGAACACATAGGCTACTTACTATAGTTTTTTAGTTCTACGCGGACGGAGTCTCAGGCGATAGTTAGTCTATAATAAAGCTTACCTCTTTAACAAAAGATCGTCCTTCTTCGTACACAAAACTGTCACATGGAACAGTTTTATTTAGAAATTCATCAGGCGTGCATTGCTGTAGGGTGTCATTTATGGTGGCATATCTAGTGCACATATCAGGCCGGTTTGTTTTAGTGTTATTTGGTATAGCGTAATCAAGCCACGACGTGTCATTGAATCTTTCTTCACAGCCATTAACTTTGCATCTAGAAAAAAAAACATGATACAACAGAAAAAACAAACAGTCATGCTCTTTTAGTAAGATACTCATATTAATGTTATCGATTACGTTACGAATACTTTCACAATTGTCACGCAATTCGTGATAGACCCTTTGATCTTAAAACCTGATATCAGATGAAAGTTCAACTATGAAATAGCCGGTTTTGTCCAGACTTATCAATACTAGATAACATTTCATCCATCAGTGCTCATCCGTGTACATAGATTAGATACTGTTATCGAGCGATACGTGATAAAATTTTGATTCTATCTACCTACTAACGTTGCAACACGTTCAATGCAACTATTCTATACAAAAGTGGCAGCGGCGGTGAACGTGTTACGTCTTTGTGTTACTACGTGACAAAAGGTTTAAAACTAAATTCCTTATCGAACTATTCTCCTTACAAATTAGAAAAACCAATACAGGGTGACGGGAAATCATTTCGTGTTTTATAAAAAAAAAAAATACTTTATTTTAGGTCTTTCTAACGTTACAAATTAAGTATATTGAGGTGTACCAAAACACCTATGTAACCTGTGTATTACAACAAACAATACAGGATGTCCGAAAATCTTTTCTTGTATTATTAAAAAAAAATCCTTTTATTATTTAATTTTGTAACGTTAAAAATTAAGTATATCATGAGGTATACCAATAAAATTTAGAATGAATGAAAAATGATTTACATTTGACCAACAAAACTATAACAAGACATCCTGTATAAGATTATTATAGACAGACTATATTTGGTATCAAAAATAACACAAATGGATGTTCAGTAATAACCGCTGCCATAAATTAAGACAAACAAGTCAATATATCGTTTTAATGAAACAGTATTAATATACAATATTCCACAAAAGCCTAGCATTATCCCATCGGGTGTTATTACCATATTTATAATGTGTCATAAATAAAACGGCCTTGCAACATATAGACCGACGAACTTATCTGACCCGGTAGGCATAAGGCAGGTATGCCCAATATGTTACCCTTCCCTCTCATGCATATTTTGAAAAAATGAATACAATGTGATTTTGTAGCTTGACGGTTACATTATTAGTATAGTTCGTTTTATCATGGGCAGTGGAAACCAACGATTACAAATAGCAAGATAACGCATAAAAAATGTACTACAAAATGCATGCAAGTTCTGTATTTATAATAATTATAGTAAAAAATACATAACATTTTTGTTAAAATAAATGAATCAGATTAAATCAAAGTATTCTCAATTCCTTTATATTTTTGGGAGAGAAATTTCATTTGGCTATCTCCTTGAAACAGTCGTAAAAACGGTCAGGTTAAAATGTTTCGTATTTCGTTCAAAAGTCTCAAAAAAGTAAAGTGTTCAAATATTTACATGGACAGGAGGTAAAAGCTTTGAACCGTGCCTAGGGTTTTGCAAATAAACGAAAAACTTTGACAAAGAACCTATTTCTAACCATTCTTAAAAAAAATATTGGCAAATGAACAATATAAAAGATAAATAACAAATAATGTAAAAAAAAATAAACTGAAAGTGACTGTAAATTGCACAAATGAGAACCTCCAAAGAAAAAACCACAAAGAATAAAACATCTTCTAAACAATTAAATGCAAACATTTGATAAGATCACAAATTACGATTTTATTGTTTTTAAATCTGATAAGAATCACACCAAAGGTTTAGATTTTAAAAATAGTAATAGCTCACCTGTAAGTCTGTTCTTGAGCTTCAAATATAAATCCACACTCATAGAAGCTGCTTAGTAATACCGGGAACAGAAGTAGGACGAAATTCAATAGATTATAACGTCCGTATGGACCAAGACTTTCCAACACAGAGTCCAAGTTGATTGGTTTCTTGCTTTCCATAGTACAGGTATACGGAAACTTTCAGAATGTTCGCTCTTCGATCCTCTGAAATAAATTGGAACGTTTAAAACTGCATTGTTGTACATTAAAAGTAAGTTGCAAGTCTGTATGTCGGAAAGTTGAACGAACATGAAGGAACATTTTAGCAGATAACTGGTTTTCTAAGAATTTTCAAAGCTACTTAGTCATTTAAGTATGTTGTAACTCCTTTATGTTTTATATATTGACTTTATAAACTAAGAAACGGTCCCGACTTCTCTAACATAAATATACACGTATCCGGCTCGAAGGACTATAAACGTTTTACAAAAAATAAAAGAAAAAGCGATATAGTTTATTTCCCTCTTTGGGTGAAAATTTACAGCATTTCTTTGAGTTTACTTTAAATTGTTTCCGGATAAACATTATTTAAGTAATCGATTTAAAAAAACCAATAACAACTACATTTAAATTGTTTTCCAAACCCTAATGTGGGAAAGAGACCATAAGTTGCTGCCAACATCAAGGAAATAAGATTGCCAAGTTTTGTCATGTCATGTCAGTTTGACATTTGCAATTGACAATTTGACACATGTAAACAGTAAAATAATTTTATGCTGATGAAATCGCACGGGAACAGCTAGTATAAGAAAAATGTAGATACTTTTTATTGCGCGATTACAAAAGTAAAATAAAGAAGTCCTTGGAAGAACCTCACAATATTTCTCGGAACGAACTTCCATTTATTTATCGAGTGTAATAAAGCAATAAAGCTCGCCGTGTTCGCAAAGTTTCCGAGAGAAAAAGTCGAAGTGTACGCCCAATATCAAATGAGGAACCGGAACTATTTATTTTTAATTACATTTTCTCGAAGAAAACTTACAGCACCTAAAGGACTAATTTCATCAAAATAACGCCATACATTTTAATACATAGTAGAAATACGTATCACCGTAAAATTATTAATATCGTTAATTTGTAATTTTCCTGGCGATTTTTATAAAACGTAATTGAAATTCTCAATTTCACGCAAAACGGTGAACATACGTGCACAATAAACAGTATTTCAATGATAATGTAAGGTAAATATGTTTTTAAGTATTCAGCAGTGAGAACCCACTTTAATATTCAGTTAGTGTTACATGGAATAACTAGGTTAAAACTGTTATCTATACTATTATAATAAAGCGTAAACACACACTTCTTGGTTGCCTAAGATGTCAGCGATTACAGCATTTTTTTGAATAATTATTTCTTTAATAAAGAGCCCTACATTTACGTCACGCTTTAGGCTATATATTTTCACACCATTAAACTTGGGGGATAAATATTTTGGATAAAATCCCTAAGGTGGGAAAGAGACCATAAGTTGCTGCCAACATCAAGGAAACAAGATTGCCATATCATGTCAGTTAGACATTTGCTATTCATAATTTTAAAAATGTAAACAATAAAATAAAATTTTCATAATTGCGGATGTAACCGCACGGCAACAGCTAGTTTGAAATAAACATTAAAATTATTACAATGACACTATTATTTAGCATTATTGTGGCGACAAATCGCCTTAAATCACATGTGGCTATTGTAAAATGTAATTATTTTAAGAGCAAGTAAAACAGGACAAAAACCATCATGAACATGAGAGTTCCAGCAGAGGACGAAACGTTTTAAAAATAACAGTCAATTTAAGTTTTAAAAATATCGTAAACGACATAAAAACATTTTTTCAAATCATAGACTCTAAAAAAATTTTCTTTATTAAGAATATTTTTTACCCTATTTTTTATCCCATATATATTAACTTTCCTCATAGTTTAATACACTACAGAAGTATACTAAAGAGATTAGGTTAAATACTTTAACAGTATTATTGTAAACCGAAAATATCATTATCCAAAAAAACTTTGTATGTCTTCCCATACAAAAACACTACTCACATTTCTCGTTCTGAATTTCTCCTAAACCACTTGTAGAGATTCTAATAACAATGCTGTGTAAACAGACACCGAATGAAATAAAGTAAAAATCTACTGCATTGCAAGTCTATAACAAATGTTTGAAACAGGAATTTGCCGAAGTTTGAATAATGTTTTAAAACAAATAAATAGTTACTCCATATCTATCTATACAAATATAATAAAATTGGAGTGTCAGTTTGAAATATGGAAAGAAGAATTCCAGATTTCAGGAAAATGATGTGTTTGCGTTGCTGATAACGAAAATCGTATTTAAAAATTCTTTGTCTGACTGTCTGTCCGCAAGCCGCGTTTGTGCCGGGTAATCTCCGAAACGGTTGGGCCGATCTCGACCGGACTTTCACTGAAGGGTAGCTGACATAGACGGGCATATAATAGGCTACTTTATCTTAATATTGCTTGGACAAAGTCGCGGGCAACAAATAGTTTTAAAATACAAACTATAATGATATAACAAAGGCCATCAACATTGGTTGTGAATTTAAGTAACCATCGCAATCTTGATACTTTGCTTATTGGCTTGTAGTTTTTGTTTCTTGCTCGCAGGGCTATTATTTTCATTTTACTCACCCCCGAAGTTTAATAGCGTGCATTGGAAACAAGTACAACGATACCTTAAACAATTAGATATTAAATCATATTGAAATTGAATTTTTTGATCCTACTATTCTATCTTCTTTATAAAAAAACAGCGCACTAATGAGTACAACTCTAATGCAATTTCACAGAAATATCAACCGTATATTAAAAGGTATGTTTTAAAAACTTACATACGGATTTTCGCTGTAAACTTTCACGTTGCATTTGGACGTTGGAAGAGCTTAAAAGCTTTTGCACGCGGACCACACGGCGCGGACGGGAGCCAACTTAATGCATACTGTCGGAGGCTTCGCTATACGAGAACATATCGTCCCAGGCACAATTAAATTAGTTTCAATATATTCTTTACATTAAAAGCCTTTTTTGCAAATCCTTTGAAGCCAGCGTACATTATCAAGCTTTCGTTAGGAATGAAACAGATTATTTTTTTAAAAATCGGATTGATCTTATACGCGCGATCTAATGCTATTCCACCGCCATCTAGTAACGCAAAAGAGTAACATTGAGCTATGATAGAGAAGATATAGAACTATCTTTTATCAGACTGAATAGTAATACAATTTCAATTTATCTACTTATAACGTGCCGGTTTTGATGTAAGGGTCATTCAGTCAAATGGATCATTAAATTAAACGACGTAATTAAACGTTCAATCCATCAATTAACCTCTTAATCCGCGGCAGAGCTCTCTGAATCATTCCTTAAGCGTGAGAACGAATCTCTAGTTTGCCGTTAATTGAACATATACATAAAAAGATCAATTAAAACAGGTAAAATAAGCAATTAAAATCAACGTATATAGAAAAAGTTCTCCGATCCATATGTTCTTTTATTTGCCAAATATGTTCATTATCTTAACAGCCATGATTAAATTGTTTAAACTCATGTGACGGCACCGACTAGTTTCAGACCCTTCGGGGGTCCTTCTTCAGGTCGAGTATTAGTTAGCTTTTGTTCGCGTCACGCCTCGCACAGCGGGCCTGGGCGCGGAAATGGCCAGCCATCAATTTTTTCTTTAACTCGATTTTACAAATTCCAAGTAATACCATTAATTTAAGTTAATTCAAAAAATCTTATTACAGTCTTACACTACGTAACTTTTGACAGGGATTTTAAAAAAATGTTTTGATATATTGTGGTTACCCACATAGGAAGTATCGGTCGGAAGGTCCCACGAAGGTCTGTATCAGATTACTGCGGTTACCTCGACTTGTATGTTGCATGTCTGATAAAATCAATCAGCAATGAATAAACGTGAACTAAACAGAACCAAGAAATATGCATATAGAAAACGGTACAAAAGAAAAACAAGACATGACAGTAACAGAACGAAAAGGTTCTTTTGACACTTTTTTGATGTTTACAGATGGCGCTAGTGTGCTGTCTTAGTTTGACCGAATAAAACTTTGTATATCCATATTTCCAATTTAAGATTGTAATTATTTGTTGTCTTTATAGAAATACATTTGTAAAGGTTTATCATACTAATATTATAAATGCGAAAGTTTAGACGGATGGATGTTTGTTAGAGTTTGTAGCCTAATCGTCTGAATGGATTTCGATGAAATTTGGTATAGATGTAAACGATAGTCTTGAGGAACATACAGTCTATTTGATTTGATTTTTAATTCCGCGCAGACGAAGTCGCGGGCGAAAGCTAGTATAGTATATATTATTAATCAATATGCAGGAAATGTCTGAGCATTGTCTATAGACTGGCAAATGATTTGCTTGCGTCTAAACGAACACAAATTAATCGATCACGACCCAGCGTTGTGATATAAGTGGGCGTTAAGTGTAGACAAGTGGGAGTCAAGGTTTATAATATATAAATACAATTTCCCGTGAATAGAAATATTGCTTCAAATAGTTGCACAATGAATCACTTCGAAAGTGTATGCATAAAGGGTGTTAATTATTTTCATCAAGTATGGTACAATATGTAGTGTTTCATTCCTTTCGATCTAAAACTTTGCCATTATTCACATGCATTTCTGTCATCATGTCATCACATTTTAGATGTATGACGGCGAGTAAATAGTGATTCATACAGAATACAATATTCCTAATAGAATGTTCCTTCGTTTCGTCGCAAAAGTGATCTGAAAATTCAGTAGAAAGTGTCGAAAAGATATACAAACTGGAATCCTGCATCAAAGGAATCATCCTTCTTTAAGAACCAATCAACAGTAAGATTAAATAGTAACAGTGTTCATTTAAATTCATTTGTTTTATTTACCGGAACGGGATGTACTAATCATACTAATATTATAAATGCGAAAGTTTAGATTGATGGATAGATGTTTGTTAGAGTTTGTATCATAAACGGCTGAACGTATCTCGATGACATTAGGCATAGACGTAGAGGATAGTCTGGAAGAACACATAGGCTACTCTTTTTTGTTTTTTTTTTCCTTCCGCGAGGACGGTGTCGCGGGAAAAAGCTAGTTGAGAATAATTTCAATTAAGACTAGTGTATTGGCATTCCTTTAAACGCAACAATAACAACAATAATTGAAATCAGATACTTTTTAAACCTAACAATATTTTCAAGATAACAGATGTACATTTACAAACATTTGTCTTGTTGAATCTCATTGTGACGTAGCCTAAATATGTTTTGTCCCTTATAAACATAATTTCATATCATTTTATCTAGAATTTAAATCTTCTATCATATTAATGCTTGTTTTAAGTTTTAAAAAAATTACATATGAACCTTATAGACTAATAAATAACAAAAAATAAAACGCTATTTCATCATCACCAGCTCACTACATGTCCCCACCGAGGGGCTCGGAGCCTACCCTAATAAGGGTTGACTAGGCCATAGTCAACCACGCTGGCCCACTGCGGGTTGGTTGACTTCCCATATATCTTTGAATTTCTTCGCCGATATATGCAGGTTGCATTACGATGTTTTCCTTCACCGTAAGAACGTCGGGTAAATTATTTACATATGAAAATTCGAAAAATCTAAACTCACATTGGTACATGGCGGAATTCGAACCCAAGACCTGTAGATTACGAGTCAAGTGTTTAAACCACTGAGCCACCGACGCTCTCAACACTATTTATTGACCAAAAAATTATAAAAAAAGAACAAAACCTATTACTGAAATAAAAACAAAAATGTTGCCATTTAATTGTTTTTTGCATCGAGCGTCAGTCGGTTAATCGTTGATTAACCCTTAAATGGAAACAGCTAATAATTCGCAATGGCTTGCATAATGCATGGACTATAGCATCACAAGCACGTACAAACGAAAACATCTGCGCCGTTGATAAGAAGAATACTATCTCGTATTTGCATTTTGTTCGAATCTTGTGAAATCTATTCAAATATTCTCATTTCTGCTTTTTATGTAAATATTACAGCTTTATTGTTAATTAATTATATAAGGGGAAAAAATAACAAGGTCTTCTAATGTTAGGGTTTAAATTATTCTTGATTATCCGAAGCTACAGATTTTATTTGAGTCTTGGCGTGAAAATGGTCGCTGTTTCTGAAGATGGAATTGCTGGATCTTATTAATCCGACTAAAAAGTTAAGAGTAACATTAAAAAAACTTATAACTTTGCTTTTAAATTTCGAGATAAATGATTTTATGTTCATTTGACTACAAAAATATCTACTTTCACTTTTTATTTACATATTTTTTAACAATTGGAAAAATTTGCACATTTCGGACGCCAAAAAATATTAAGTAACATAAAATAATTGACCCAAAATAACAGATTAAAATGCTGCATTCGAATACCTTAAACTCGTTAAATTGCATCGAGTTATTCGAAATTCGAATAAATTCCAGTAGTCGATTCTATATTCGAACGACCAAATGGCGGCATAGAATTCAAATAATGCCGGTTGCCTTGGGCAAGGGAATCACTCAATAATAAGTGGGACACGCGTGATACTGCAAGGCGAATACTTATCCGTCAATTTCAAATAAGAACATTTGCTATCTCTTTTTGTCAAAGAGAATGATAAGGATGGCAATATAATCTTCTAGAAAAATTGCCTTGATTTAAAGAAGACAATGTTACCCAATATTGAACACGCAGTCATCTATACTATTATAATAAAGCGTAAACACACACTTCTTTGTTGCCTAAGATGTCAGCAATTACAGCATATTTTTGAATAATTCTTTTTTTAATAAAAAGCCCTACACTTGCGTCACGCTTTAGGCTATATATTTTAACGCCATTAAACTTAGGGGGTATATATTTTGGATAAAAACCTTAATGTGGGAAAGAGACCAGAAGTTGCTGCCAACATCAAGGACGTAACGTTGTTATCATGTCATGTCATTTTGACATTTGTAATTGATAATTTGACAAATGTATAATAAACAATAAAACAAAAGTTTCATAATTTCATGCGGATGAAGTCGCACGGGAACAGCTAGTAATTTTATAAGACCTTTCGTGAATCACCTTATCGCGTTTTAAGTCAGACGATGTTACAAGCTTTTATAAGTGCAGTTTGTAATGAACCATTTTATTGTGGATATAATTATCTCTGTACTTAAATACAATGTACGGTTGTTTATTATCATTTACTCGGATTTTAATCGGCACGTTATGAATCAGAATTGAAATAAATTAACCTTATCGTATTTAATAAAAGGCAATTGTCAGGTCAGAACGTTCGATGAATCGATTGCTTTGGGTCATCGCGCGATTTTGGCGCACGTTATTGATATAGAGCGTGCTCACATCTAAAACTAAACTATCGCTCAACTTTTTTATCTTACTACTACTAGTTGATTTCTATTTGTGCAACTAAACAGTTGAATTGGCTACGAAACAATCGACAATTACACAACAGTTGTCCGTTAGTCAAAGGGCGCACGATCTAAAGAGTCAAAAAAATCATATAACGGCCGAGGCAGCCATTTAAATTTCGAACGAAATACTCGTAAGTAAACGAGGAATTCAGTATACTTTCTACCACTGCTCTGTATTTTCTTTTCATTAATTATAATTAATTAAAAATATGTCGCTTTTAGTGGAAGGTATTGGGAAATTCTTATCTCCAACAGTGGGAAGGAAAAAGCTGATGATGTCGCCATTACTATTAAAAAGTTAAATTAAATAAAACCTTTTAAGAGAATATTGTGTATCTATACTAATATAATAAAGCGTAACCACACACTTCTTTGTTGCCTAAGATGTCAGCAATTACAGCATATTTTCGAATAACTCTTTTTTTAATAAATAGCCCTACATTTACGTCACGCTTTAGGCTATATATTTTCACGCCGTTAAACTTAGGGGTAAATATTTTGGATAAAAACCCTAATGTGGGAAAGAGACCGTAAGTTGTTGCCAACATCAAGGAAGCAAGGTTGCCATGGTTTGACATCATGTCATGTCATTTTGACATTTGCAATTGACAATATAATTTTATACGGATGAAGTCGCATGGGAACAGCTAGTTCATAGTAATTTTAATACAAATGATTGCAACATTTGTTCATGTCAATTATTTCTATTGTATTGTAATTTACAATAACCTTGCATGTATTCAGCTGTGTTAAATATATGTATGCTGTTGTATATTCATATAATTTTAAAACAGTTCTGATGTTCTCTTAAAATATCAAATTGCCTTTCGAAGGCATCTTTAGACACGCTTCACTGACGCTTCTTTAGTAATAACACCAACTAAATAGAGGTTATTTTATCGGAACATTTGCTGATCGAAAACTTTGTCTCCTAATACATTTTTTGCATATTTAACTAAGTTTAAACCGAACTAGAAATAAAAAAAGTCACTGCCTATTCCTTATCTATGCAGTTGACAAATGAAATGCATTTGTTTTGTTTAAATCAAATCTTTTAACCGATTAATAACAGAAGAATGCAAAAAGGAATTTTATCATTATTCTCTTGTTTATCACATGTCAAACGTAATGTTTCTCGATATTTCCATTCTTAGTAAGTCCATTGTCAAAGGTTCAATAACCCCAGACAGTTTTCTCATCGAATTGCAATTGAATTTACCGGAATAGTGTCAGAGGGAAAACAAAATCCAATACAATTGGGTATTAGTAATATTTAATAGATACTTCGACAAAAATATATAACCGAAGAATATAACCGCATTTCTCAAGCTATCTTCGTTTATACCTATAACAATGCGATAGGGACCTCAGGTAAGCGAAACGGATAAACTAATTTTAACGGTGAACTGTCACTCGAATCGTCTTCTACCCTAGAGGGTCTCCAGACTAATTTATCAATTTTTTTTTTAAAACTGAACATCGTTTAACGATTGTAGATTATAAATTAGCTTGATCAACAATGCTTTAATGTCAGAAACATATTTCTGGTCGTAAAAATAATTATTTCAGCATAAAATGTAAAAATATTTATAGATTTTCTATTTACAGCTGACCTACTATATCAAGAGGTGAATGACATATTTATAGGCGTTACATAATCTATTTTAAAGATAAAAATTAAAGTCAATAACAATTTAGACACCTTTCTAAACATAAGAAATAAAAACACTGCCGGATGAGAAGACAATATAATGAAAGGAAGCGCGGCTGTTAAGCAAACATAAAACTTAACAATGGGTTACGGTTAAAACTGTCTAAAGGGAACATGAGATTATCGATCCTAAGCAAAAACTGTTTTGCAACCCTACTACCGTGTACAGTGCAACAATGTCTGTGTCTACAATTTAATAACGAACTAACCTCACGTATTTTCAACTTATAACAATTTAACTAAAACAATATACAACAATTGGATATCGAAACAACAATTTAACACGCTTTAATTCCTAATTCAAACGGTAAAACAAAAAGTCGTACTTACAGCGATGTAAAACGGACACCATGCCCTATTTCACAACACATTCAATGTCCATCTGAATGTTTAAATATATCAATATATCGTTCCAAATACAACACGTGCACAATATAACAAGTCTAATTATGTGGTTTAAACAATGGTATAATAGAAGACAACGAGATTTTTAAAGTAATAAACGTTTTGACCGGCCGGCGACTTACGAACGCGTGTGACATACGCTCTTGACAAAACTCGTATAACTATAACTTGGCGCTAGCGTAGCCGACCGCACACTAGCACAAACTTTACGGTACGTCATTTTTATCACGCCACGCGCTTACGCCGATTTCGCATCCAAATCGAGGTTATGAATTCTTTAGTATACATTGCCGCTTCTAATACTACTGTCAACTGTTTAACAATAGAAATAAATCAATGAATCTTATTTATTTTATTATCGTCTTTTCGCTAATTAAAAGATAACGTCCGATGATGTACGTTCAGTCGTGATTTTTTTGGGGTGGGAAATATCGTTCATGTGAAAAAAAACGTGAAAGTATTTATTTATGAGTGATATTAATATAAACATAGATATATAAGTATAGAAAAATAATCCGAAGCAAAAAAGTAAGACGAAAAAAGGCCTCCGGGGGCCTTTTGTTGGGGCAAATTACAACAGTGTTGTCATTTATGAAACGAAATTATATTTTAAAAATTGTCTCTAAATTTAAACTCAAAATTTTATGAAACATAAAAATTATAGGTTATAATCTAAGATGAAAAGATTTAACTGCCACGCAGATAGTTGCTAACAATCCTTAAAGTTTGTGGAGATTTACAAAACAAAATCAACACTAAGGGACTTTGAATTTTTATTACAAACATTGCACGAGTTAGAAATTGTCCACTGTATAATTATTAGGTCAGTGAATTCAGACATCGTAAAGTATAAATGGACAGACAGACTCAAATAAATTCTGTGGCCTCAATTAACTCGTGTTTGAAAATGAAACGGTCTCGAACATAACGATTTTTTTTTAATGTGAAAAACTAGCGACAAGTGACCATTAACATGCAGATGAGTGGACGCACATATATTTCCCCTTCCTATCCCCTTCCCATCCTTTCCTTATATGTTATTACACTTTAACTTCATTTTTACAGGGGCACTTACTGGGCCGATTAATTTGTCTGAATAACTTTGTCTATGCTCACAAAACATAAACATTAAATAGCTATCTGTAACAAAAACATCTATTGCAAGCTTCCGTTAATACGTATATTGATAAAAGATTTATCTTATTGTACAAACACCGGAATTGGATATACAAACATCATATGATCTGTAACCCGATATTAATTGCAATAAATTATTAAACAACCAATTAACACTTTCAATGTCATTATATACACACCAGCTTCCACCCGCGACTCCGTCCGCGTTAGATTAAAAAAGTGAGTAGCCTATGTGTTCTTCTAGACTATCCTCTGCATATATACCAAATTTCATCGAATATCATCCGTCTATCGATTTAAACTTTCGCATTTATAATATTAGTATTATAACATTCATATAACCTTGTTGTCTTCGATGCACATCTGTCACCTTTTACTTAAAAAAAATATTTTAACCCCAACTTTGAAACTCCTGTGAACTGAACGTATTAAAAACTATAGAATACTCGACTGATTTTAACCTAATTCAAGAATAACCTCAAAATTCAAATATTGTCCTGCAAATCATTTAAGTCCGCTACATTCACTTAGTATGTAACTGTCAGTTGAATTCTACAGTCAAAGTTTTGCTTATACACTCTCAGTTTTAACTGAACAGTTCGACTCTTTAGTTAAAACCGTCAGTTCGAACTGAGCGTCTGTAGCAGGCATTTAAATTGTGTAATCATGTTATATTCGGAGACAAAGATGAAAAAATGACAATTGTAATCAAAAAGTGATGATAGAAGATAAATATGGACGACGAAAAACTGGTACACGGAATACGTGAATGGGATGACGACTGAGAGTTGATGAACATAATTTATTTGGAACTAGTTTTTGCTCGCGACTTCGTCCACGTGGACTGACAATGACTATTTCCGGGATAAAAAGTAGTCTAAAATGCCATCTATGTCAGCGAAAGTCCGGTCTCGGCCTAGCCGTTTTAGAGATTGCCCGAAACAAACGCGGATTGCGGACAGACAGACAAACAAAAATTAAATTTTCGTTATCAGCAACGCTAATACATCATCTTCTCGAAATCTGGAATTTTTCTTCTGATATTACAAACAGACACTGCAATTTTATTACATGTATGCATTATAATCAAGATTCATACCGGAAACGTAATAAAGAACAATCATAACATGAGCGTAACCGCATTATTATGAAGATATAAGAAACTGTGATCAAGAAACCGCGTCGTTGACTACACTATGAATAAGACCATTATTTACATTGTCACTTTAATAAACATTAGTTCAATAGTTCTATTATTGGACCTTGTTTATTTGTAACAATATTTATATTGATGACTAGCTTTCGCAAGCGACTCCGTCCACGTTAAATTAAAAAAAGAAGCCTATGTGTTCTTCCAGACTATGCTTTACATCTATGCTAAATTTCAACGAGATCCGTTCAGCCATATACGCTACAAACAAACAAACATCTATCCGTCCATCCAAAAGTTAAATACAATAGAAAATACTGGCTAATAGTACAAATTTTAAATACAAAAGAGAAGTAAATATTAAGAAAAATATATTCGAAATTTAAAATGACTTCGGAAATAGACGTAGACAATAAAGGAAATGCATTGCAATATTTCCGTGCAGCCTTTTATTGATATTGCATAGATATTAAAAACTTGGAAGTCCCTTTCGCAACGATAATCAACATTGGGAGGAGGGCTAATTAAAATACGATCCCCCGGTATTACTTGTTTCTGTATTAATTAAAACAAACCTCCTTTCTTTTGACTCGGTTTCCTCTCTGAAAAATGGAATTGCATTTCATATCGAGGATTGTGAAGCATCATTTATTAAAAACATTTATTGATTTGTGTCATGATTATGTTTAGCTAACGCTAGCTATTATTTTATCTAGCAATCTACTAAAAATATGAAAAATCACATACATGTGGGGTATTGTTTATAACAGTAAGTGTACAGTGAATTTTTAACTTAGCTTTTTTTAACTAGCTGATACCCGCGGCTTTTTCTTCGTGGAATTAAAAAAGGAAACCTTAGTTACTTCCATATACATCAGCTATTTCCCGGATAAAGTCCCGTCAATATTGGACCAACCATTTCGGAAAATACTCGGAACAAACACTGCAACAAAAATCGTTATAATTAACGCAAATACATTGCGCGTACGAAGTATATTCCGATGAATGTGTTTTTATACATGTATTCGCAGTGGAAACGACAACGTAACTAAATTCCAGTTTCTAGAATTGTAGTCATTTTATTATTGGGATGTTGGATCGTGGATTAAATTCAATCTAAAATACGGGCGACGTGCCATCGCTACTTCGAGGTTCGCCTTACATTCTCCTGAATTTCAAATTGCTTTTTGCAAGCGACTACCTAATAGATACCTGGGAGCTTTTACCTTATGTTTGAATTAAAACCTTTTTTTTTTGACAATTCATCTTTTTTTCGAATATTTGAATGAAAGGACTTTATGGCCCATTTTAATGACAGTTAACCACGATAGCTCAATCTGAACGAATACTGTAAATTACAATTGTAAATTACAAGATTTAAAAAAACAACTGCAAGTAGCGTATGTGTTCCGCCAGAATATCCTCTATATCTATACAAATTATTAAGATCCGTTCAGTTTAAAACAGGCTACAAACAAACAAACACCCATCTAAACTTTCGCAATTAATATTAGTAAGATAAGATTATTCTGTGACAACTTTATTAATATAAATGAGGTCCAAAAGATGTTGAATGTTAAAAAGTAACGAGTTATAAAATTATATTGAAAAATCACAATATCTCTGTACAAGATGAATTTCAAACTTCGCAAGATTTGTTCAAAAACAAACGAATAATAATAACAGTTGAAGATCGGTACGAGGAAATACACTTTATGTTTGGAAACTTAGCTGTCTGTGAGTAGTTCTTACTCCTTTTTGTATTGGATCCTTTTTATTTTGAGGAAATCCCTCTCTACTAAGTACTCAAAGTTTATGTGGCGCGATGATAAGCAAGTTAGTTGTTTTGAGTGCTTTAGAACGATCCTTTTATTGGGATATTTCGGTGCCAAATAACTTAGAAGTGGCTATAGCAGGCTAAAGAGGGCATCTCAATCTTTCAGTTAGTTTTTTAAGACATTTTTGCTTAAGATTTCTTGTTCGATATTTCTATGTCTACTCTTTTTGACACACTGGGTGTCCCCCAGGGGGTTAACAGGGTTAAGATATAATAGTATACATATATTATAATGAAAAGTTTGTTTTATTTAGTAATACATTGTAATTAATACATCTTCCTGTTACTGTGACATTAAAAGATTCTTAGTATGTACAATTCAGTTAATAATATTTTAATAATAGCAAAAAATCTTTTAGACAATGATATGTTTTGTGTAGAAAACATAAATCATCCTAATTGCAGTTCTTGGTATCTGTAAATCGTAATTTGAGACTCACTACGTGATAATAGTTTTAGATTTTGTAGGTTAGATAAAAAATGATCGCAATTACGTCTTTGTCTATGACATTAATGTAAAAAGTACTCTATGGATGCATTCTCATTGATTTCCTTTATAAATATTTGTACAGTTAAAATATCTCATGTAAATATTACTTCTATTTAGGTTTTGATTTCTATTTTAAACAATATCAGTTGCTTATGACTTCGTCCATGTGAAACAATAAATAAATAGAAAACAGACTATGTTATTAAGCGTATCTTTCTAATACATAATAATATATACAAATCTTCCCTCTTTTTAATATTACTAGCTGTTCCCGTGCGGCTTTATCCGCATGTAATTATGAAAATTTTATTTCATTGTTTACATTTGTCAATTTATTAATATTAAATGTCAAAATGACATTACATGACAAACCTTAGCAGTCTTGTTTTCTTGATGTTGGCAGCAACTTATGGTCTCTTTCCCACATTAGGGTTTTTATCCAAAATATTTACCTCCTAAGTTTAATGGCGTGAAAACATGTAGCCTAAAGCGTGACGTAAGGGTAGAGTTTTTTTTATTAAAAAGACAATTATTCGAAAATACGCTGTAATATAATATTATAATGATTGATGTAATTATTAAAAA